AAAAAAAAAAAAAAAAAGAAAGAGAGAGATTCTTGAATCCTATTCCAGTTTTCCAAAGCATAATTAAAAGTGATACTGCCTTATTCAGCTTCTTTTGCAGTCCAAGAGTGTGTTTGTGCTGTATCGTGGTGCATGGAGATAAGATGATTGCCTTTAACATTGTCACATAAACAAACGCCTAAGTGGATTTTTAGTGTGCCTGCATCTGTGGATATTATCAGTAATCCTTTTCCTTGGCTTTACTCAGTAACTTTGGGAACAGGATTTATAAATGTCTGTTAGAAAAGTTTGACAATTCTGATTTAAATAGGTTTTACATTTTTTTTTTGTTTTCTCACAAGTGAGAACCACTTAGGACTCTCACTTATAAAACTTGGACAATACTAAACAATTTTAGTATTAAAACCAGGTCAGCCCCAAGCAAATGGCTATCAATTAGTTGCCCTAAAGCAGGTCAAAATATTGCTGGAGTTGAGACTCATTTGGGGAGAAAATATAAGAACATCTTAGTCTTCTTCTTTGAGTGTTTTCCAAACATCATCTCTTCTTTATGACGTGCCAGAGTCAATGCAGGTTTTTGGTCCTCTCCCTTATCTGGATTCAGAAACAAGACTGCAGATCTACTGGGAAGTTCTGTTCTGGAGTGAGTGGTGGGCACTTGAGTTCCATCTCAAAAGAGAAGGATTTAAAGGCAGATTTTCCATCCATTAGATGGTCATTTTGTGCCTCAGATTTCCTAGACATTGTTAATAAAAACATACCGATAATAATGTCCAGCTTTTAGGGCTGCTGTAAATATTCAAGAAAATTGCTTTGTATTGCCATGCTGATTATTATCAGCAACTGGAGACAAGCTCATGTCTGTCAGCAATGGTAAGCTTCATATCGAGCGCTATAGAAGTACCTGTTAGTCTTAGCTATCTCACAGTCTCCTGCAGGGGATGGCTTCCATCATCAAGAGGGGTCAGCTACATTTTACTTTTCCTGTTTAAGGTGTATCCATGTGAAATATCAGAAGAACACTTCAAACTCAATACTCTTTCAGGAATTGTAGCACCAGTGGGAAGAACAGTGGGACCTTAAAATTGTCATAGTTCTTTTGAAGCTAATCGCACTGTGAGTGGAGGACTCTAACTCACTTTATTCATAAAAATAAAATAGCCACAATCATAATTAAACTACTTTATTGACTTTCATTAGGGATTCTACAATTGAAATAAGGAAGGCATGGTAAATGCGTTCCTAGTCACAAGGGTTTCGGGCAAAGCTGAAGAGCACAGCGAGTTCTGTATGCCGTCATTTGGTCTGGCTTTGCTCCGTGACACTAAGAGAAAGGAAGACTGACAAAGGCAGTCTCTGAGCTGATTGTGGAATTTGGGGGTAGGAATCCACTGCTTTCAGGATGGCATCACGGTAAATGCGGTTGTCTACTACCAAGGCCTCTTCTGAGCCACAGAGCCGTTCAATGCTACTTCAATCCAGATCAATGGTAGCTACTTCCTAATGAGAAACTAGATTTTCCTTCGAAATTCTACATTAATTCAATCAATTACCTTTGCTCTGGATGCTGCTGGAGAGATATCTCCAATGGCTGAGATCGTGTACTGCTCTTCTGGAGAAGCAGAGTTCCATTCCCAGTTCAAGTTTTCACCACCTACTTAGCTGAGTTCCCAGGGATTGACCAGCCTCCTCTGAGCACTGAGAATACCTGCTTTCCTGAATACATATTGACAGGCACACAAAAACATGAACATAATTTTAAAAACTATATTTAAAATAGTTTACTATAGAAGCAGAGGAAAAAATAATTTGTCCACTAAATATAATTTCAGTGAATCTTATTTTTTCAAATAAAATTGATTTCCAGCAGCGATCAAAAATTCTTAAGGGCAATGGAGGAGAGGCAGATCTGGGACAGAGGGGAGGAGGGAACTGAGAAGAGAGGAGGGAGGGGAAACTCTAGCTAAGATGTAATATATGAGAGAAGAATAAATAAAATACTCCCCAAACCTTATCCCTTATACTCTAAACAACCAATCAATACCATGCTTGAAAACTTATTTAAAATGTTTACTTGAGGGCAAGTGTCTTAGAGGGTAAAGATTCAAGCTAAGCCTAAGGAGGAGAGTCAATCCCCCAGGATGGTGGAAGGAGAGAAGTGACATCTGTGAGTGGCTTGTCCCTTGGCCATCACACGTGCACCATGGAATGTGCATCCGAAGCCCAAATCAGTGTGTAAAATGTGTAATATATATCTTTATTAGAAATCTAAGAATTCTAAGTTCTGCAGAAAGTTATAAAGCTCTTGGAAGAAATTCAACATTTTGTAATATAGGCTAATATAACAACCTATTCTTATTTGAAAGGACCTTGAGCCCCCTTCACAGTGGAAGTCATTTGCAATAGTCAGCCCTTTCAGCCCTTTTCTTTCTTTGTGTTTGTTGCAGCAGATCCCTGTTTCTTAAGGATGGATCCACCATGGAGAACCTTTTGAATTTTGAGAATGAGACTGTAACATGCACACATGCTATAGCTTGGGGGTAGATCCCTCACTTGAGTACAGTTTAGTGTTGAAAAGCCTCCACTCTGATAACAATCATGAATACATATGGCTCAAGTGCTGTTGGAGACAGCTTTGTGGGGTGGACAATCCTTTTACTCCTTTTCTTCTTCCTTTCTCTTCCTTGTAGACAAGCTTTACACAAGCAGTGTGTTTTGTATCATCTGCTGGGAGACCTAAAGTAACCTCACTTAAGTCTTAAGAAAGACTAAAAACAAAGTCTCTTATCTGTTGCTTGTGATATGCGTTTAGATGTAAACTCCTGGCTTTTTAGACCCCAAGAATAAATCCATAAGAAAAAAAAAAACAAAACACCTCATAGCATCAAACATTTTCCCAGAGAAGTAGAGAATTCCCACAGGTTAACTGAAGTTCTGGATCTTTGCCCTAGAGGAGGAAACTGTCCCTGAAGGATGCTGTTTCAGGATGCACTTAGTCGCAGAAAGTCACAGACTTCTGCTCAAGTTGACTTTTAAGAGAAATGACAGTAATGCAGAATTATTATTTACTGCTATCTTTTGAAAATATTTTGTGACCTGTGTACTGTGTACTTTTTATATTGCATTCTGAAGCAAATGTACTTCAAAGCCGCCGGTTGGAAAGAATGCACATGATGTCATCTGTAGAGAGAACCAGATCATAGTCTTTGTGGAAAATGTTTAGGGTTACATATTCTTTTCATTTGTACCTCTACCAAGAGAGAGAAATTAAGAGAAAAAGAAAAGGCTTGTTAATGTGCCTAGTGGCTGGTAGGCTTTCTCTTCCCAGCTTTCTTACCTTAGATACAAAATATGTATTTAAAGAAATAAATGAGCAACTCTTTTCTTTTTTAAAGATAGGTTTGTATCCTTGGCTAATTTGAGATTTCAGGCAGTAGTTGTGTATTGCAACTTAGTTTTAATGTATTTTCTATCTGTTTAAGTGTTAAAGAGTGGGTAGATAGAATATTGGGAATTATAACACAGAGTGTGGAAGAATACTAAGTTTAAGGTTCCTAATTTAAAAAAAAAGCTACAAATTAGTACCGGCTGGTGGAGGTTTAAGTTAACTATTAGGCACTTATGTAAGCATTAGGTAAATATTTTGGGGATTCTAAGGAAGTGTTCCCAAGGTGAGAGACCAATTCTTGGACTGAAAAAAAATGCCACCTTCTCTCTAGCAGTTTAGCCCACACTGAGTGGCTAGCCAAGAGGTTAGGTAGAGAGCTAGCTTAGTGAGTGGAGACAGTGCAATTCCAGCTCCTGTAGTTTTCTCATCATTTGTCGATTTTACTTCTTCCCCAGAGTTGGGAAAATCTTCTCATTAACTGCTCCTGAGCTGTCACGGAAGTAACGTTTAAAAGGTATGGTTCGGTTTCCGTAAGAATGTTTTGGAACTCAGCTGTGGTTTTAAGCCCCCACCCACTTCACCAAATCCAGCAAATGGAAGAAGCCAGGCCTCTAGCGAACCATTCCGCTACTGATGCTCGCACAAATGGGAGGGACCAGGGAGCAGCTGAGAGGCCTTCTCCGGCCCAAATTCATTTGGGGTTTTGGCTTTTGCCCCTAGAAACATTCATTGATCTGAGTTTGGCAGGCAAGAATAGGGAAAACTAGAAGAGTGGAAAGACTTGGGGACTGGGGTCACATACCCATCCCTAACCTTCCCCAAAGGCACCTGGACGCCAGGGGAATCCCTCCCAGGCACTGAAAGCTCTCACCTTTGGAGAGGCAAGTTTCTTTGCAAGCCCTAGACACCTGTGTGAGGCGCTCCCCATGGGAAAGGTTCTGTGGGGGGACGCAAGAGCTCAGCCACACGGCTTTCCTCCGCGAGGCTGCGGTCACAATCCCTCCAGAAGTCAAAGCTGTTAGCACGCACAGTCTGCTCTGTCTTCCTTGGTCACCAGGAACCTAGCCCCACATTCTGGAGCCTGGAGCTCACTGACGCCTCTCCAGTTTGCTCCGGGTCCCCTCCCTCCCACCTCTCCACCTCCGAAGTAGCGCTCCAGCCTTGCTCCGCCCGCACAGCCCCAGCGCCCCCGAGCTTTATCAGGCTCTCCACACACATCGCTGGCTTCCTTTGGCACCCGGCGTTGGTGACCCTAGCCGAGCAGCCACCGCCTCCGAGCCCAGTCTCCCTCCTCCCGCTTGTGGGTCACTGCGCCTCCGGGCTTTGCTCCCCCAAGCGCCGCGGCGCCCACCGCCTTTCAGGTTCATCCTGGGCTGGACCTGTTTTGCTCATCCCTAAACCCGGAGAAGTGGAATCTGCACACTGAAACTCTCGGTGGCTGGAGCGGCGGACTGGGCATGCTCAGAAGCCAGGCTTGGCTTTGGTCTCAAGTCGAGGGAAGCTTTTGCACTCGCGAGGCAGCGGCGACTTTAGGGAAAGTTGATCCGAGAGGGGAGGAAGCCCCAAGACGCGGAGCAGCGGCAGGAAGGAGCCCCTGGCAGCCCGGAGGAGCATGGGCACCCTGCGGGATTTACAGTATGCGCTCCAGGAGAAGATCGAGGAGCTGAGGCAGCGGGATGCTCTCATCGATGAGCTGGAGCTAGAGTTGGATCAGAAGGACGAACTGATCCAGAAGCTGCAGAACGAACTGGACAAGTACCGCTCGGTAATCCGGCCGGCCACCCAGCAGGCGCAGAAGCAGAGCGCCAGCACCTTGCAGGGTGAACCGCGCACCAAGCGCCAGGCGATCTCCGCGGAGCCCACCGCCTTCGACATCCAGGATCTCAGCCACGTGACCCTGCCCTTCTACCCCAAGAGCCCACAGTAAGCAGGGTTACGCGCCCGGGTCCATGTGGCGCCCAGGCGGTGGGAAGCTGCGGGTCTCTGTATTGTCTGTCGGCCCCTGCCCCTCCCGCTTGCCATGTCTGTCCTCATCCTCAGAAATGTCTCATTTCCACGGCACTTCTTGAGGGGCTGTGCACGTTTCTCAGGGCCAGACTCCCTGCACATCCGTTGCCTTCGTGTCTTTGTCAGATGCCAAGGTATTTTTAAAATATACAGATACGTTCATATATGCCACCTACTGTACATAGAGTTTGGACGCGCCCCAGGTGTGTGTCTGACCGTGTGTGTGAGTGGCTGTTGAACTGAGGAATCAGAATCCCCTTCTTCCCCAAAGCCCCAGCCAACCTGGCCAGCCAGAAAATCCTAACTGCAGGCTCATCAGACTGAAATGAAATGCGTTGATATTACCCTGACTTTCCACGCTCTCGTGGCTCTCCTGGATTTTTCTACATGCCGCCGGCGCTTCATGCTGGTACCGTTCAAACCTGATGTTCTGTCACCATCAAAGTGTAAAAGAATAAGAAAATATACATAGAAAACAGAAGAATTTTTAAAAATTTCCTGAGTTGGATGACATTTACAATCCATAAATGGAAACCTAGTCTGTTGATTTTTTTTGAAAAAAAAATGTTTTCATAATATCCAAGAGAGAATATTACTTTTTTTCCTAAAAGAATTTTCACATGATTACCAATGAACACTTTCATTTCCCCCTCCAGAGGGTTCATGTATTTCCAGGGACAGTGTAGTCAAGCACATGTCATCTCCAGTGTGGACCAAGCTGTGTCTCACACTCAGGTCTCTAGACACTCTGATGCTGTTCTTGTGTGTTAGAGAGCAGTGTAGTGCTGGTGTCTGTAGGATTCATAACTTGGATGGGAACACTGAATGAAACTTGTTACACAACACTCAAGCCCAGAGTCCATATGGAGAGTGAACAGCAGGGACAGGACAGTAACAGAACCAGAACACCATCTGAATGGCATTTTAATTAATAGTAATGACATAATTGGTAAAGCAGAGGATTCTGTTGTCCTGCTCTTAACTACATAACACGGCTGGATGACACGTGTTACATAATAACAGAAGGTCCCTGGGAACCCTTTACTTCATAAACACAGGGGATTCATAAGAAAAGAAAGTAAATGTTTGGTTATCTTCATTTATATTTCTCAGGTGAGAGGGCTCAGGAGTATATATTACATACACTTTTGAAAACTTACAAGTCAAATCTATACGTGTTGGCCCTCCCTGTCCCATGAGTCATTTATAGGCTTAGCTGAAGGAGTTTGAATTCTATGGAGTAGGGGAGAGTTGATAAGGAGAAATATTTCTGTGATTTCAGCCTCACCATGTTACCATGATAGATGAGCTGGTTTCAATTTGTCTTAGAAACCTGAGTGATCCGAATCCATTGGAGCTTTCCTTGGTAAATTAATTTGCAGTCCCTGGCATGTTTGCCTGTTTCAGCTAACAGAGTACATAGCCATCTCTCTTGGGCCAAGTTTTTCATAATGAAAATATAACTCAAGAGGCAGCTCTTTGTATCTTTAAGTATTCTATAGGTTTGTCATTTTGGTTATCTGCGGGACTTTGGAGTAACCCAGAACAAAGTCTGCTTTTTATAAAAAGACAGCTTTAATAGGCTCTTAGATGCAGTGTGATCAATCCAGCTGATAACTCCAGTTAAACATTCTGTTTGAGAAAGCCTAGAGAAATCCAGGCAGTGGGAATGAATTACAGAATGTGGTACATTTAGAAGACTTTTGACTCTTGGTGTGTGACACAGAACCTTAGTGTTCCTATAAACATTCCCAGTGGAAAATAAAACCAGAGAAGCACATACTTTGTAGCATCCCTGTAGGACGAAGGTTGTATCTGTTGAACAATGCTTTGCACTCCCATGCTTATTTGATACCTTTAAGGGACTCGGTTGCTAAGGTGGTATTGCCCTGTGAGGTTTATAATTCTGAAGGATTATATTGGAGAAAATGATAAGATGCCTTCCAAGTTTAAATAATTTTGGGAAAACATCTGTTCTTTTTTTTTTTTAAGGAAATCAGAATAAAATTGCCTTGAGTGGTAGTGTACTTTTCTTAGAAGTAAATAAGTATATTATATGCAAAACAATTATTATCCTATGTGGTTTAAGTGGCTGGACAAGATAGCTCCACATAGAACTAAGAATGTGCCAATCTAAAAACTTTTCCTTTTCCTTTTGTATATTTTTTTTGCATTTCAATGTATATTTGTTTGAATCGTTTTATTATTCTGATTTGCCGGCAACAAGTGTTTATGTTTTTAATCTTTAGTGAAACTTAAATTTAATCACTTTCCTAAAGATTAAGTTAAGGTTGGAGCAAAAATATGTAAGGAGCCTGAAATTGATTTTAGCTGCATGCTCCTCTTAGTTTTTGGTTGTCTTTCTAGGAGATGCAGTTAACTAACTGAGCCGTTGATGTTCTGTTCAGTTATCTGGTGATTGAAAAGAACCAGCTAACATTTCCTTACTGAGGCTGCCTTTTGGGAATTACAAGATTTTAAAACTTCCTTTTGTTTCCTTACAAACAATTGCTTGTTTGAGGGTAAAAAGCAATACAAATTGTAAAGTAATGTTTATCGTTTCAGTAGTTTTTAGTTGGGATTTTCCCTTTAAGGAGAGACCTGGAAGAAAGCCTCTGTCAGACTCCACCACAGGGAAGACACTTCTAATGTACCTGTGAGGTGGGGAGAGGATGTGGGTCTTCTGCAATCTATATAGACATAGCCTTTTAACTGCCTTAGGTTATTTATGAATACGAGGGGGAAGGACTGATGTAGTAAGTGGAAATCTGTTTATACTGCTGCCAATGAACTATTTAAGAATGTAAAACCACTAGACTCTGTTCCAAAATACATCAGGCAAAAGATCCCTTAACAATGGAACATACAAACAAACCTAGTCATCCAGTCTGTGAGATCAGGCCACCCGATGGTTCACATGAACTTCTAAGATAATTTTATTTCATGACATTTCATTCCTAAAGACGTACTTGCTGTTCCCAAATCTTTTCCATTTTGCTGTCACGGCCTTCCATGTCATTTCAATTGGACTATCTCGACTTGAGTTCCTATCAAAACTTGTTAATGTCTTGTGTGTTTTTGTAAAGCTGTTGCTTTTTACCCCTGAGGTGGCTTCACTTCAGAGGATGAGATGACATGTTCTGTTCTGTTTCACTTTGTGATTATGAAATAGTTTGGAAGAATTGGAGGTAAAGGAGACACATATTTTTCTATTTTTAGAGAGGAATTGAAATATAGAAGATCCTATGTGATTGTCTAAACCTTGATATTATATTCCAAGAGAAACAGGATCTCCCTAAGTGCTATGTGTTTAATTTTGAAGGAAGTCGTAGAAATCACACAATACTAGTGTTACTATAAGTAGCCTAATATTAAAACATTTCTTCGCAGTATTACATTTCAAATGAGCCTCGCAAGTCAGTTCAATACTTGTATGAGATAACACCTGGCACATGGAAAATACTGTAAGGTACAGAATCCTTGTCAATAAAGAGCTAGCAAGGGACCCTACAACGCTGTACAAGAAAATATCTTAGAAAGCTGAGTGAGTTGAAACACAGCTCAGTTCACACAACCAGTTGGTGGCTTCTGTGGCTCCCCTTGAATTGTATGAGATCAGGAACTCCTTTGAAGGACGTGCTATTGCATTGTAGTACTGGGAAGACTGCTATGATTTAAGCACTGTGAGGGGAGCGTAGAGGGCAGTGGGAGTTGGGGAAACACAGCCCAAGACATCAGCAGAGACAAGGAACATCCAGAGGATGGTGGTGACCAGCAAGCAGCTTTACTGGAGTGCCATGGAGAGAACTGAATATCTCAGGTTCTATGGTTTTATAAAGTTCATTAAGAGGTAATTATGGTTGGTTTTTAGAACGACCCAGAATCGTGGTGTGTGTGTGTGTGTGTGTGTGTGTGTGTGTGTGTGTGACCAAGGGGTTACTGAGGGCTAGTTATTAGTGGTGAAGCTCTTGGTTCTAACCTTTCACTATAACTACACTAACTAGGTAAGAATATCTAACCTAGGGGGAAAAAAAAGCAGGTGACAAAGACTCTTGAAGAAGCCAAGTACCTTTCTGAGTGTTCTCATGGAAAACAGCCTAGTTATCCACCGTAGGCCAGCTCTGCAGATTCCTTTCATATCTGAGCAGACTGATGTAGATGGGAATGCAATCTTGTTAGTTATTGAAATTCATCTTCCCTGCTTCTGTGGGGGAGTTACAGTCTGACCTAAGGTTATTATAATAGTTTCCAATTTAAGTTTGAACATTAATTTGACATTACAGCCTATGCTTTGAAACAGAAGTCCTTGCAAAGGCTTTATGTTATACTGGATCATGCTGCTAAATATCCCATTAGGGGGTTTGGAAGTACAGTCAAGTTGCTTGCCCCTAAACTAGGACTTATAATGAAAATACTGACAAGTCTTAAATTGAGTGGCTCTAGGGACCGCCTGAGAGTATGAATGGACAGCTTCCTTGCTCGACTGGGGTGCATCTCCAAGCTCCCACTATTTGTTATTTCACTCAAGAGTTGGGTTTGGGTTTCTATTAGGAAATGGTAGAATAAGACATGCAGTGTTTTCATTGTTGCAGTTTCCAGGTTATAAGGCATATGGGAGCATTTTTTTCCCTGTCTGCCTAGCAATGGAGGGTCTCCATGGTATCCTAGCAACCATATTTGAACACCAGGCTGCTGCTCTTTCTGCTATCTCTACCATAGGTGCTGCTGCCCATCCCAAGGAGCTTGAATTGCTGCTAGCATCCCAGGCCCTCTGTCTTGAACCTTCCTGGCTCTGAGAACACAAGACAATGTTGCAAATACTCACATGCTGAAAGCAGCACTTACCAGCATGCTCAACGTCTTATTATACAATCACATCTGTGGCATTTTGAATCCTAATCTGAATTGTTGAGCTA